GTTTTTTTTTTTTTCGTTAGATTACATTTAAAAAAAACATTTGTGAAAGCAGAAGACAAAAAAAAAAAGTTTTTTTTTGTAATCGGTAATGACGTAACAACGGCAAAACAATTTTTTTCAATTTCACGGATTATAACCGCTCATCAGGGTGCTTTTAACGCTCTCGAAAATATTTTTTTCTTTTTTTCTTTATTTCTCATCATCATCATCATTATTATTATTATCATCATCATCATTATTATTATCATCATCATTATCATCATTATTATTCTTTGATATTTTTCATATATTTTTTTTTTTAATAACAATCATAAATGAATTTAATATTGTTGTTGTTGTTATTGTTGTAAACCTTCGTCACGTCGTGACGTAATAAAATATATTGTTATTAAATTCGTAAAATATCGAAATCGAATCAAATTAAATTTTTATGTATAAAAAAAAAGGTCACGTGATATTAAAAAAAAAGAAAAAGAAAAAATAAAGAAAACGACATGTATGACGACGACGACAACAGTAACTTGAAATCGTTTAACTTTTTTTTTTTTTTGTGAAAATGATGACGTCATTTAAAATGTCTGTTTCTGTCAAAAATTTAAAAGCGACAGGGAGGTTAGCTGGCAGGCAGGCAGGCAGGCAGGCGTGCTTTTCATAAAAAAAAAAAAAAAAAAAAAGAGAAACATGTTGGGAAATTGTTTCTGTCACCGACAGTATTAATCCTCCATTCCCCCCCCCTCTCACGTCCCCCCACGAAGCTTTTAAATGAGGGGGTTGAAAATCAAACATGACAAAATCAAACCGTTTCAACCCCTCTTTTTTTTCTGTGCCTTTTATTAAAATAACAATTTAAAGTTAGATAATCGTAAATGGATTAAAATCTAAAAAATTACTTAGAAAAAAAAAAGGTGGAAGTGGAAGCAGAAGAAAAAAAAGAAAAAAATTTTTTTTAAAATGGCGAATGATTTTCTTTCGAATCAACAAGAGATTTTTTTTTTCTCTTATAAAAATGTTATTATTCTTTTCGGCGCCAGAAAACTTAAATAAAATAAATAAAAAATGTGTTTAAGTTGTGTGAGTGTGTGCGTGTGCGTGTGTTTGTTCGGAAAATTTTTTTTCTCATTTTCAATCAATATAAACAAACAGAAAGAGAGAGAGAGAGAGAGAGAAAAGTGCGTTTTTTCTCTTCTCCCGCCATTTTTCTTTTTCCTTTCGCAAAAAAAAAATTATTTTCACGCCGTGGAATTAATATTTAATAAAAAATTCCGTTGGTTTGTATCTAAGGGGGTTGGGAGAGAAGGGGGGTGTGTGTGTGGGGGGAAGGGGGTAAAAAAACGTGGAGTCACCCAAAAAAAATTTTTTTTTTTTTTAATTGCTAAAAATTGTTTTTTTTTTTTTTGGCGTCAAAACAACAAACAACCCTTATAATAAAATTTTATAGTTTCGTCTTATTCTTTTTTCTAAAAATCATCCCCCGCCCTCTCCTCACCCCCTCAAAAAAAAAAAAAAACGTGTGAATAAACAAGTTAAAGAAAAAATATTTGATTTTTTTTTTGTTTTTGGCAAGTTGGGCCCTAATGGCGGAAACTAAAAATGAGTTTTAAGGGGATGCCGCCCGCTAAAGATGTTAACTAATGACTTTGTCTAGTAAAGTAAACAATTTTTTTTTTTTTGGGGCGGAAAACAAAATTTTTTTCTTTGTTTCAGGTATAAAATTATGCGAAAATTTTTTTTCTGAGTGTTTGTTGTTGTTGTCGTTGTCGTCGTTCCTGGAAATTCGTTTTTTTATCACAAAAATTAAAAAAAAAAAAAAAAATTTTGACGGTTATATCTTCGCGTTAATTTAAAAAAACTTACCGTTAAAACTAATTGATTTTGTTGTCTACGTCATCGTCAGCGGCGGCGGCAGCGTCGTCGGCGGTATCGGTGACGTCGGTGGTGGCGCCGTCTTGAATTTATTCTACATTATAAACGTGCTTAATATAACAGACGCCATGTTTATTATTATTTAAAAAAAAAAAACTCATTACCTGAAAGACAAATGAAAAATGATTTTTTTTTTTTTTGTATTTTTCAAAAATTTCTCCAGAATCACCTGGACAATATTTTTTTCCCTCCTTCTTCTCCAAAAACGAATTTACTGGAGTCCAAAAAAAAAAAACAATATGGCGAAAATGATTTTTAATAATTTTAAAGCATAATATTATTATTTTTCGCCATATTGAAACGACGTTTTTCTATCGGATGATAAAAATACATTTTTAAAGAGATCGATTTCATTTTTTTTCCAACCACTCAACCTTCCCCTCCCCTTCCCTCCTACCCTTAACCCTTTTTCATTTTCTTTTTCTTCGCATTTAAAAAAAAAAAATTTCATTTTTAACACAAAAAAAAAAAATAATGCAAAGTGTAACTGACACCTGCCCCCCCCTTTTTTTCTTATTCTTCTTATGAAATTGCGTACTTTTTTTTTCTTTTTTGACATCAATAGAATAGAATAGAAAAAAAGAAAAGAAACAAAGGACGAGACGAATGAGTTAAAAATACAACCCCCGAAAATAAAGAAAAGGAAAGAAAAAGGAAAGGAAAGCACCTGTACATAAAAAAAAAAAAAAAAACTTCCTGAAAAAAAATATATAACGACATCGATCATAAGGACTAATCGGCAAACGGGCGTGTGACAGGACCAATTGACCGTGTATTCCTTTGATATTACCGACACAACACCTTCCAACAGTGTACCTAATTTCATGGGAAATATATTTTGTGTGTGTGTGTGTCGTGGAAGAAAAAGAAGAGGAGGAAGAGGAGGAGGAGGAGAAATGAAAACGGGGGATATACGACATAATAAAACTGACACATTTACGACCCCGAAATCTATTCGTTATTATAACAAAAACAGGATTTTCCTTTTCTTCTTCTTTTTCTTTTTTTTTCTTCTTTCATTTTTTCCAGAAAAGATTATAAATTTTTTGCTTCTTCACGTTAAAAATCAGTTCGAAATCACGATGTTATTATTATTATTATTATTATTTTCCTAGAATTCGATTCTTATTAAATTTTTTACAAAAAAATTCAAAAAATAGTCAAACGCACGCACACAAAAAATTTATTTTCGTTATTATTATTATTATTTTCGCACCTTTAAATTTTACCATTTCGTACTAATTCCACGACATTTTAATTAATATATTTAAAAATTTTCCTCGTACGAACGAATGATTTTAATAATAATAATAATATTATTTTTCATAAATGGAAAAAAAAAATTTTTCGTCTATTTAATCCGGGATTAAGGATTAACGTTTAATCTTATTTTTTATTATTTTAATCTTCGTCATTTGAGATTAAAAACAACAAAAAAAATAAGAAGAAAATTTTTTTTTTTTGTTATCTACTAACTCTCGAATTTTAAGTTTTAAATTTCTTAATTAAATTAAAATAGGGGAGGAGGGAGGAGGAAGCGGGGAGGAAAGGAGGGAGGAGAGAAGCGGAAAGGGGGAGGGGCAGAAGTAAACTATCAAGTTATTAAAAATTTAACGATAGAAATTTTTAATTTGAACTTGGTTTTACGTTACAATTTCGCATGACCGTAATAATAATAATAAAGCGGATTTAAAGCGGGGAGGGGGGGATTTTCCTTTTCGTATAAATCGTAAATTTTTTTTTGGTTTTCCCTGTTCCCCGTCCCCCTCCCAACCCCAATCCTCTTTGATTTAAAATTTTCAACGTTATTAATAATCAATAAGATTTTATTTGTCGGTTTCCTTTTAGCTTAAACTCCCCTCCCCTCCCTCCTTTTTCGTTTATTACGGTCGTTAATTTTCTTTTAAATAAAAATTTAAATTTTTTTTTTATAAAAAACGTGTTTTTTACATAAAAAAAAAACCGGCCTAACTTAAATTGATTTGTTTCATTTCATCATCATGAATGTTTATCACTCGCGTGATAACAACAACAACTACAAAAAATCTTTCGAGAATAATCGCAAAAAAAAAAAAAATAATAATAAAATTTTTTATCAACTGACCTGTAAAAGTTGTTTTTTATTTATTTATTTATTTATGTACTTATCACGAATCCGATTCCAGTTGATTTAAAAGAGTAAAAAACATTTAAAACCGGAAGACTGGATTAATAAATCAAATCGGGGATAACAAACAAACAAATCCCGCGCAAGTCCCTGGTAAAAACAAATGACGAATAAAAAAATTCCGTTAACGATAAAACGATTCATTTATTATTATTATTATTATTATTATTATTTCTTCTTCTCCAGCAGTTCTGGAATTCTATTCGGATACGCAAAACTAAAAAAAAAATACGAAAAAACCTAACAAAAATTTTTTTTTTTAAATAAAAAATTTTCAACCAAACCTAAAACAATAATATAAATTACAAGTTATTTCAATCAATCAATCAATCATTCCTTTATGTGGATAGGAGAGAATGTAGAACGTGTATAAGAAATATTTGCTAGATTAAAATAAGAAGTTTAAGAAGAAAAGAAAAAAAAGAAGAAGAATCTTCAAGTTCTTGTGTTGGTGTTTCGGTGGTGATTTTCAGCACATATCAACCAATCAATCAATCAATCAATCAGTCAGTCAGTTGTATATATTATAATTTTTTGACAAATTATTATTTAAAAAAATTTTTTTTTTTTTAAAAACACCATATTTAGAATAATAATAACCGAGTTAAATTATATTGAAATTTATCACGATGAAGAAGAAGAAGAAGAGGAATCATGTCACTCATATTATTTCCTTTGATATTGCCGACAATATTGTAACCAACCATCTTCTTCTTCTTCTTCTTCTTTCTATCTCGTTGTTAAAGTTGGAGTTGGTCCGGTTTCTTTTTATCTTTTTTTTTTTTTTTTTTGTTACCTGGAGAATTTAGGTTGAGCAAACACGAAAACGATTTTTTTTTTTTTTTCATCAAGTAAAAAAAAAATTTTCACCGTATAGAAATTTCTCGAAAAAAAAAAAAAAAACTGTTGATTATTCGTAATCGTTTATATGTAGGCTTGATGTAACACTTTGTGAACCTCTCGAACTTTGCCTTTTTTTACCAGTTGGTTTTTTACTTCCGGCACTCAATGCAAATTTTAATTCCATTACTAATGCTTCCTTAGGTGAAATCTAAAATTTATTATCATTATTAATAACTATTCGATTTAAACATAAGAAAATGAGTAGTAGAAGGAGTAGTAGAAAATGGGATTTACCCCTTCTTCGACTGCTATTTTACGTATGTTCCAAAGAAATTCCAAAACGGACATGACGAATCCAGCCGTGCAACCCAAAACCAAAACTACAAAAACACCACCGACGTTAGCCAAACCGAGTTCGGCTTGTGACGCAGCAGCGTGAGCATGATCTTCCTAAATAATAATTTAAAATAAACTTTAATAAGTTCATCTCTCCCCCCAAACCCCCCCCCCTTGAAATCTCATTACTTTGCACGATCCTCCACCGTACATTTCTTTCCACCATTTTTCTTTCAACATGTGTAGTCTACCATCTTCTTGCATTTTAAGTACCGCACCGCTTATTGCCGTCCTATACGGCGAATCTTTTTTCAAAATGTTTCGATTATCAATAAAAAAAAATCATAGAATAATAACAAATTATTATTATTATTAACTCACTGACTGGCATTGCTATTCCGTAACCTTTCGAATCCAAAAGATCACCTATTTGTTGCAATTCGCAATTTCTTTCCACTTGATATTCTATAGATGTTGATTCCATGAGGAAAGCATAACTTCTTTTACCTTTGAGTACTCTTTCAACTCCTTCTGCATTTGACGTCGTGAATACGCTTGGCCTCGCCGATTCCATGGCTGCCCACATTCTCTGATACGTTGAAAAATTTGAATTCTAAAAAAAAAAAATTTTTTTGTTCCCCCCCCATTTTTTTCATTAACACGAAAACAAAAAGTTATGTCAAGCGTGTTGTGGGTCATGCTTTTAAATTTTTTTTTTTTATCAAATATCCTTCTGTCAAATTCATACGGTCGTGTTATCAAATCAAATCAAATTAATTAGTAGAAAAAGGTTTTTTTTTTTTTTAAATCAATAATAAAAGGATGAAAAGGTTTAATTGAATATTTAGAAAAGGCGGTGACAATAAAATTAAAATTTATTCGTTGAATTTGCCTGGAGAAAAAAAAATTTTCTCTTTTGTTTTTTTTTTTTTCCAGTAAGTAAATCGTAATAAAATTTTTTTCCAATTCGTTACGATTCCAGCGGGTTTACCTAATATTAAATAATAATAATAACAATATTAATGATAATAATAATAATAAAAATAATAATGACATTTAAATACAGGGTTTGATAAAGTTATTAAAAAAAAAAAAAAAAATCGTCACAATTTTAAAATTACACGCCTTACGTAATTATTATTCAAAATGTATGTTTATATATTACAATGACACGAATTGAATGCGTAATTGTGTTTGTTGTTTGTTTGTTGGGTTTGTTTGTTGTCGGCAAACGGGAAAAAAACAAAGGTTGTGAGTAAAATTTTTTTAATCACGGTGATAATTAAGTTATTTAAAACTTTTTCAATTTCTTTTGTTAATATTATTATTATTAGAACTACAACAACCAAAACAACAACAACCACAAAAACTTCTGCTAAATCTACTCACTTAACAACAAAAAATCAATATATTAATTATTATCTAAAAAAAGAAAAAAAATTTGTGAGTTTGAACAACAAAAGATCCAGAAGAAGAAAAAAAAGATGAAAAAATTCTTTTTGGTCTGGATCGAATAAATTTCTTCATTTAAAGAGAAATTTTTTTTTTTTTTGTACGGTTGGTAATTCCCTCCTGAATCAAAATAATGAGTGAGTTGCTTTCAAAAAAAATTTTGACTAGAACTCGTGCATAAAAAAAAATTTTTTTTTAAATTGTTATCAAAATGTCGCACATCTCGAATTTCTTTGTCTTCTATCGAGCGGTTAGAAATCAATGATTTCTTATTTAATAAAACTTGTAGAAAAATCAATCAATCAATCAATCAATAAAAAACAAATCAATTCATATCGTCATAATCGTCATCAACATCATCATCATAGGTATTTAATTAAAATACCTTGAAAAAAGCAGCGGTTGAACCCCCTAAGACAGCCCCGTATTTAATTTTAGTCTGCTTGGCAAGATCTTCGGCACCCGTGATGGCCACATCCATTCTTTCAACGGTTAGAAAAGCAGCGAGATTAGCCGTGTACGATGATATCATTATAAGTGTAAAAAACCACCACATTCCAGCTATGATTCTCGTCGATATCGCCCTGTGGAAGTTTGTTAGTTATTTTATTATTATTATTATCAAACAATTCTCCAGTAACCTCATCCTTCATCTTCTTCCTTTTTTATTGGAAAAAAAAAAATTTAATTTTTCTTTTTTCTTTATGCCTTCATCAAATCTTTTGTGACGAAGCAGGAGACGACGACAGCAGGAGCAACAACAGCAATTATTAAACGATTTAAAATCGAATCGGCTAAAAAATAATACGTTTTAAATTATGTTAAACAACAACCACAGCAACAAACAGAAAACAAACAGAAAAACATCAGGTTTGTTAATTTTGTAAAAAAAGATCAACTAATGATACTCAACGTAAAAACATTAACAAAAAAAGCTTTATTTACAACATCTAAAAGAGAGAAAGAGAAAAAGATAGAGAGAGAGAGGGTTGTGCGCGAGTGTTTTGGGGGAGGCGAGGGGGGAGGTGAGTGTAAGAGGGAAATGAAAAACAGCAGAAATTTTTTTTTTTTTTTTAGTAACGCAGTAATAATAACAGATGCATCGATTTTGGACAGCGAGAGAGAGAGAGAGAAAGAGATAGGTTTTCCCAACAGAAAAAGAAAGAGAGGAGGACGAACCTTAAAAAAGGCAACAGTGGAAGCATCCGCAACGGCACCGTATTTAATCTTAGTTTGTTTAGAAAGATCTTCGACGTTTTCGATTTCGATTTCCATTCGATCGATTGTTAGGAAGGCTGCCAGATTTGCCGTGTACGAGGAAATCATAATGAGTGTGAAAAACCACCACATTCCGGCTACTATTCGGACTGAAACTGCCCTAAGAAATTTTTTTGTTTAGCAGTAGAAAATCAAATAAAAAAAAAAAAAATTAAAAAAACAATCAATCAATCAATCAATCAATCGTGTAAATAATAATAATTATTTCGTTTGTTAATATAATTTTTCCCATCTGTAACTCTCTTAGTTTTGGTTTTTTTTTAATTTGCCGCCATTTTTAAATTAAAAAAATTCATGGAGGGATGGGGATGATGATGCGGGAACGAAAGGGTGCGGTATTATTAGGGATGTGGGGAGAGAGTGGGAGGGGGGTTAAAGGTCAAAACGAATTTCAAATTACTGTTACGTTATTCATTCGTACGTAATTATTTAAAAAAAAAAAAAAACTTATTTTTCCATAAAAGGCACCGACGGACCGGGTCGTTTTTTAAAAAGACCCACTTTATTATAATGACGGTTATAAATAAATTGGTTTTTTTATAAAAAAAAAAACAAACGCAAATTAAAATTTTCGCCATTCGCGGTGTAAAAAAGGAATAATAATTATATCGAATACAATATCGAACAAAGAAAGGTGTGTGTGCGTGTGCGTGTCTCCTTTTTAACTTTTTGACCGACGAAACGGTTGTCGTTGTTCTTTTTCAACACTTTAAATTTTTTTTTCAAAAAAAAAAAAACAACCGAAACAAACAACAATCGTTCACTTCGAGTTACAGATAGCAAAAAAAAAAAAAAAAAAATTCGTCGTCGTATTAAAATAACGATTTTAACAAACGATAATTAAAATGCAACGACAAACTGCCATGCATGAAAAAAACCTATTATTATTATTAGTTTATAAATAAAAATAAAATAAAAGAAAATTGTTTGTTTGTTTGTTTACTTTGGAAGAATGTCACATCCTTGACCCATAAGACTTCCAAGTGAAAACCAAAGACAATTGACCAAATTAAATTTACTTTCTAATTCTTCGCAATTATCATTACACGGATGTGGATTTTCCCATTCGTGAGGAGTCATTCTATATATACAATCAATCAATCAATCAATCAATCACAAATAATCTAATCCAATTAATAAATAATTTTTTTTTAACGAAACGACGATACAATTTTTAAAAACAAAAAATGGCTCTCTCTTCTACTACTTAACGTTTATTTATTTATTTATTATTTATTTAAGTGAAACGTTAATAATAATAAAAACCGTCATATTAAATAATGTTAATTAATAAAATTGTTTATTATTATTATTATTATTTAAAAGTCAATAAAATAATTATGTAACATTTTTTTTTTTTTTTAAATGAGTCATTAATTGGTTTTTTTTTTTTTTAACGCTTTTGAGGTCATTACTACGCCGCGTAGTTTTTTTTATGTCTTTTTTATTATTTATATCATAGGTGGGCTATATAATAACGTTATGGTTGTCAACGCGATAAGATTAACATTAATTAAACTTTCCACGCAATTTAATACAGAAAAAAAAAACTTGATTTTTTTAACTATCAATGATTACCCGCCTACCACAAAAATCTTTAAATTATCCTCCTTATAAACGTGTGTAAATTAATTACACTGTTTTAAAATAATTTTTTTTTTATAACCGACAGCGTAAAATTTTATTTATTTATTTATTTGTAATTTAATTGTGACCCCTTCACTTCCCTACCCTCTACTCCCCTCCACCCACCCTCTCCCCGAAAAAAATAAATAAATAAACAAAATGGAAATGGAGAAAATTAAATTTTTTTCTTTTTTTGACTTCAATTCAAGTTTTAAATTTTTTTTCTTAAATAAATTAAATAATAAATTAATTTTTTTTTCTTAATGCGGCAAATTATATTTTCTCTTTTAGGAAAAACGCAAAAAAAAAAAAAACCGGAAACGGAAACTACGTGAATTTTCTTTTTATTTAATGATATCAAAGAAAAAAGTGGTGACATCTACCGGATAAAGATTTAACAAATTTTCTTTTAACGAAATTAAATCATTTTTATATTTTATTGTAAGATGTTAGCACTTGCGTGTATTTTCCTTTTTTTAAATTGTATTTTATTGTTTTTTTTTTTTAAAAGGAGAAATGTCGTTTAATTCCCGCGGAAAAAAATGAAAAAAAAAAAAATAAATAATAGGAATGTATCATTTCGTTTCGTAATAATGAAAAAAAAAAATTATTGAAAATTTTTACCTTGCTAAAATAAATAAAAATAACGAAACTCCCAAATAAGCCGTCACCATGTACATCCAAACATCCAATGAAAAGGGTGATAAAAATGAAAATAAATTTGGTGGTTGTTTCACGGGTTTACTATACAATATGCTAATACCTAACCGTAATAATATAAATCATCCCTTAACTCAAACATAGTAAAAATTCGATTTAATTAAAAAAAATATTTTCGTACTCACCCAGAGTCATGAAAGGCATTGTAAAATCAACGGCGGATTCTCTTTCGTACGTTATTGTCAAATCGCAAATGGCCAAATCCGCTTTCTGATTAATGTATTAAAAAAAAAAAAAAAAACATAATTTTCCATTAATTATTTACATAAAATCATTGGGAATCATTTTAATTAAACTATGTACTCACCCTATCCAAAAGTTGTTTAACCAAACCATCCCATTTTTTAGTCACCCTATTATAAGAACCGTATTTACCATCGGGTGTTAATGTGAATTCGTATTTAAAATTAAGTTCTTTAGCTATTTCATCTATTAAATTAATTGAATAACCTTCAAATCTATCATTTCCGGTTAAACTACCCTGTGGTTCTTTAAGCATTAAAAAAGGTGCACCCTTTTGAAAAGAAAAAAAAACAAAATTAATCATTAATTTATAAATAAAAATTCCCATTTCGCCAAAACCAAATTGACCGCCTTCTCCCCCGGCACCCTGCATCCCCCGTTCCCCGCCCCTCTCCTCACCAGTCTTGAAACCACAATAAAAGTTTTATTTTCCAATTTTTCAACAATTTGACTGTATATTTCTCCGATTGTTCTCGTGTAATTAACTTTATTTATCGGATCCCACGTTCCGATTTTTTTAAAACCATTTTTCGTCAATTCTGCTATTTCTAATCTAAATAAATTTCTTCTACCGTCTGATTGTTCGAATCCTATTGGCCCAGTCATACCTTTACCTTCGACCTATCAACATAAAAAAAAAAAACAAATAATTATAAAAAAACTCGATCGAATTATCATCATCGATTAATTTTTTTTTTTGTTAAACTCACCAATCTCATATAATTAACTAACGAATAACCGTGAGGCCATGTTTCGATACCGTCACATCTCAATGGCGTCACCGAAATTTTTTTTTTAGGACTTTCTATGACGTGTACGGCTTTTGCAAATAATTGTACGGCATCGTAAAGCAAAGCTGTTTCGACCTGAAATTTGACATTACGATTTAATCATTTTAGCGGATTCCAGCTCATAGCATTAAGGATGAAAACATACCTTAACCGTTTCCGGTGTCGTATCCAGATAAACTCCATTTCTTTTTTCACCTTCGACCCAATCTCTGACTGCATTTTGTACATTCGAATCTTCCGGATCGATCAATCTTATAGTCGTTATATTTGTTCTCCCGTATTTAAATTCGGAAAAATCAAGAGTGTGAGTGTCCTGATTAATTAATTAATTAATTACTTAATATCGATTAACCATCGATTATCGATTTTTAAAGATAGATTATTTTTTGTTTATTTTAAAACTTTCGTTTTCGCTTAATAATAAATTTTTATTTTTTACTTTTACAACACGCACGTGTAATAATGTTTTAAGTTTTTTGATTGTTTATAAACGATGATGAAAATTTAATGATAATGATAATAATAATAATAATAATAATAATTTTTATTACTTTCAAGTTGAAAGATTTTTATAATTATTTATTAAAGTAATTTAATTTCATTTACATCACGCTTTAATTTCTTTTTCTCTTTCTTTGATGTTTTTATTTTTTTTCTCTCTCTCTCTCTCTCTTAAATATTTAAAATGCCGTGTTAATTGACGCATCAACAAATATTATTATCATTATTATTATTATTAATAAATAACGCGCGAATTTCAAAAAGAAAGAAAATTTAAAAATTAAAACAAAAAATAAACGAATGAATTAACACGTAAAAATTAAGAATTTTCTTTCTTTTTTCTTTCCTTTTTCTTTTTTTTCTCTCGAGAAAATTTTTCAACGTGTCTGTAATATAAATATACATTATCAGTACCGTTATCAGTAAGTAAAAAAAAGTTCATCGACCTCATATTTTTTTTGTTTTAAAATAAGAAATAAACGAGTGATTTTAATTAATCAAGTTTTCGGAAAACTTTTTATTTTGAAAAATTCAAAACCGTTCGATCGAATCAATCGAAATGAGACATTTTAATTTTTTTAACCAATCAGAAATTTTCTTTTTAATATTTTGCTCCTCCCCCACCTTCACCCTTCTACTCCGCCTCCTCGGTCAAGGGTATTTAAATTTTAAAAAATTCTTTTGTTTGTTTACCGAATTAGAAAATTTATTTTACAAACACGTTTAAAATAATTTTCTTTTTAAATCGAATTGAATCGAATTATTATTATTAGAAATTTATCATAATAAAGAATTTTACCGAAGGGGGAGGGAGGAGGGAGAGGGGAAAAATAATTTTATTATTTACCAAATCCGTGATTATGTAACTCTGATAATCTTCCATCATTTTAACTTCTTTAGCTTGTCTTAAAACGGTTAAAACTCTTTCCGGTTGACATTGTAATATGATATGAGTTTCCCCGGACATTTGAATTTCTTTTAATATAATTCTATGATCGTCTTGTGGATCCAATTGACGTATTGCTATTGGTGAATCGTTTGGTCCTTTTAATTTTAAAACTCCTTGAAGACGTATTAAACTTTCTTCGTTTTCGTATAAAATAGTAAAACTTTTCCAATCCATATCTTCAATTAAATCTGCTATCCCCTGTTTTTTTTTTAATAAATAATTTTTTTTTTTTGGCAAAATTTCATTTTTATTATCTTTATAAAAAATAATAATAATAATAATCACCCTTAACCTCTTTCTTTCTCTCTCTCTCTCTCTCTCTCTTTTTGGAATAAAATATTTTACCTGGGATAACATTTTGGGTTCGGGATATGTTTTGATTGTCAGTAAAGAAAGTTTATCCGGTGCAATTTCCCATTGAGTTTGAAGATTTGGAATTTCTAAAGTTTCAGATATTGATTTGACAATTCCTGCGCTCGCGATATCATTTGGACCAAATATGGCGGCTATTCCAGAATATGTCAAATTACAAACTGGAAAATTAATTTTTATCATTATCATTATCGTCATTATCGTTATCGTTTATTTAATTATTATTATTATTAATTTAAACGATTAAAATTATTTTAGGATAAAAGCCAAAAGGCAAAAAAAAAAAAAAAAATTTTAACGTCTTAGGAAAAATTAAAAAAAATTATTTATTTATTTATTTTAATACGAAAAAGAAGGTGGAACGTAGAAAAGAAAAAATAAATAAATAAATAAAACAAAATGGCGTTTTTTACGGTTTAATAAGTTATTTTTAAATTATTATTATTATTATTCGTGACATTTTACTAATGTTTTTTAAATTTCTCGTTTTCTTTTTCGTTTAACAAAAAAAAAAAAAAAATTAACATAGAAAGTGCGTGTGTGAGTGCGTGTTAGTGTGCGTGTGCGTGTGCTTATACGTCGCATGTTAATTTTTTTTTTTTCCAGTTTCCCGTTTTTTTTTTTTGTTGAAATCTAAAAAAAAAATTTTTTTTTTTTTATAATGAAATTTTAAACGGTTTTTTTTACTTATGAATTTTTTTTTTTTAATGCGTTATGACGTCATAAAACATTATTTCGTGTTTTATTATTATTATTATTATTATTTAGATTTTTTCTAATGTGAAATGTTCTGCGATTTTTTTTCGGTATGCGGTATAAGTATAAAAATATAAAAATATTTTATTTAAATTTGTTTAGAAAAAAAAAATATATAAGAAATTATTATGGAATTGTTTTTGGATTACAACAAAACAACAACAACAACAAACAACAAACAACAAGAAAGATCAAACCGAAAAGAAGTTTTATTTTATTTTATTTTTTTTAAAGGAAAAAGGAGAGTTAAAGGAGCAATCAAAAACTTCTAAAACAGAGGAAAACTATTTTTCAGGGTTTTTAATGAACGTTTTCCATTGTAATAAAAAAAAAAAAAAATTTTAAACGAATAAATCACTTTTAAAAATTATCGTTATCATTATTATTTTTATCCTTGATAAAGAAAATGGAAAAGGAAAAAGAGAGGAGGAGGAAGAGAGAGAGGAGAAGTGGGAGTGGGAAGAGAAGCGGAAAACGATTTGATTTGGGAGACACGAGAGAAAAAAAAAAAAAATTAAAAAATTTAATATCGAAATCGTTTTTCTTTTTCCTCTTCCCTCCTCGTCCCCCGCCCTTTCCATTCCCCTTCCCGCCATTTTTAATGTGTGTTAATTTAAAAAATAAATAAAAAAATTAACTGCAAAAAAGAAAATTCCAAAAAATAATAATAATAATAAGTTTAATTAATTAAAAACTTTGGCGTCGATTAAAAAAAAAAAACAGAAAACAAAAAGCAAAATAAAAATAAAAAAAATAAATAAATGAAAAGTAATGTCAAAAAGAAAACGGGGTTAAAAGGAAAGAAAAAAAAGGAAAAAAATAAGACAAAAAGTGCAATAATAAATGGATAAAAAAAAAGGAAAAAAATCGCACAACGTGCACGAAAAAAAAAAAAAAAACTTTTGCGTCTGGAAATGGAATGATAATAAAAAAAAATTTTTTTTTTTTTAACACGGATGATAAAAAAATGAATTTAAACAAACAACAACCACAACAACAAAAATTTTTGTTTGTATCTGGAAATAAAAATATATATATATATATTTAAAAAAAAAAAAATTTTAACCGATATCCTGGAACCGTCACTCGCGCGTTAAAAATATCCAAATTTCTTTCTTTTTTTTCCCTCCCTTTTTATCCTTTCGCGGTTTAACACGTCTTATAAAAAAAAAAGGAAAAAAAAATTGAAAAAAAGAAAAAAAGGAAAAAAAATGGAAAAAATTTAATTATTATTATTATTAAATTTGATTTTGAAAATTTTTTTTAAAATCTGCATAATCGAAGAAGTGAATTTTTCCGTCGACATTTTTAAAAAAAAATAAATTTAAGTAAATTTAAAAAATTTAATTTTTCTTTTTTTCTTTGGGGAGGGTGGGAGTCACGTAACAGTTTTTCTTTCTTTTTCAAACACGCCATCTACATTCGCGGTTAAATAAAATTTTATATTTTTAAAATTGACTGGAATGATTTTTTAAAATAAAAATAAAAACGGAGGAAGTTGACGTTTTAAATTAATGGATTTATAAAAAAAAAAATTTTTTTTTTGGGGGAATTTTCCGAGAAAGAAAAACGGTTCAAATTTTTCGAAAAAGTGAAGAAAGAGAGGGGGGATGGGTTAAGAGAGGGGGTAAGAAATAAGTAAAGGAAACGGAAAAATCATTTCGGAAATAAAAAGAAAAAAAAAATTGAAAATGTGATCATGTAAATTTTCTCGTCAAAGGAAATAATAATAATAATAATAATGACGTAATTTTAATCCATCGAGTGCGCGTGTGCGCGTGTACCTGATACACAAGAGTAAAAAAAAGGTAAAAAGATTAAA